ATGGAGTTTGATTCCAGAGACAGGTAACAAAGTCTTAAACTGATCGTGAGAAACAGGCAAGTCACAGACATTGTGCTGTTTGCCACAGGAACCAACATGGTTTTACCATAAGGCTATTTTAATGCAAGATCAAAGACCTGTGTCAGTAGATCTGTTGCAGAACATTATGAATTCAGACACAGAGGGTACAGGCCTTTCAGAAACCATAATCTGCTTATGTGCTGGAACATCGCTTTCTGTTTCTCAGAGTTACTTGCCCCTCCTTGATGCCAGCATAAAAGGAAAAGAATGACACCGATTAGTTTATCCTACCAGCCACAAGGCATAATCCTATGTTTTGATAAGAAAATAATTTAGAAAATGAGCAGGTGAAAGGTTAAATAAAGGTTAGTTGGCAGAGGATGAGGGTGAAAGAGCAGGAAATGAGAGATAAAAGGCTGGGGGGGTGGGAAGAGGGAAAGCAAGAGAATAAAGAGAATCAAAGAAAAAGGAAAAGATATAGAAAGAGAGGGGAAAGGCCAACAGCAGTAACTGCTGTTAGCACACCGAATTGTCTTGATGAAATAAGCATGATCAGGGGTCACCACAACCTGTCTTTTTAAATTGCTCATTACAATTGTACGAGGCAAGCACTGCAACCATCGCCTTTCTCTTCAATATCCACTGAGATCAGCTCTAGCTAATTTCCTTAAAGACATGCAAGCTGCTAATTCTGGGAAATACAGATAGTCGGGAATAACAAATACCACCAAAATTAGATTAAGATAACCTGCTGATAAACAAATTACTCACCAAAAATAAACATTGGATTAAGCAGCAGTGGGAGCAGGATCCCTATAATCACATCGCCATCGTGTGGCTCCCGGTGTCGAGCAGCAGCGGCCGGTTTGGTCCATCACATCACCTTCAGATGTGCTTGTCTGAGCTTATACAGTGGGGCCCAGTTTTCTTCCACTGCCTCAAATGTGAGACTGATTTGCCTGCTTTATTTATGGGGGTGAGCTCACTAAAAGCAATAGAACCCATGGCTAGGAGTGACATGAGGGCAGCCCTCACCTTCAACCACTGCACAAACAGGCTCCAGTTGGGGTATGCCTCATCCACACCTGAGCCTCTTGGTGACAAAGAAGAGCTTAGTGATGAGGTCCCCAGGCCTTAAGAAAGAACTGGAACAAGATACAAAGACAGATGTACTCAGAATAAAGCCAAAGGAGACTGGAAAAAGTACCCTGGGAAAGACAGAAGAGACTTGGAGAAGGATACTGTGTCTCATCCACCTCAGTTTATCTACAGCTATTGGTATATACAGCCCTCATCCTTACCCTGGGCTGTATAAAGCATCTAGAAACTGAAGAAGGAAGGATGGACAGGTACAATGCTAGAAAGCTTGACTAATCTTCAAGAAAAGAGCAAAAAGCCTCCTGATGCTCTTATGGCACTTCAACACCATTATAGATATTTACCAAGCAACACGCATAGTAATATAGTTCAGAGGGAGTTAACAGCATGGTAGAGAGACAGCAGACACAAAAAAAAACCCAGCAAGGCAATGGAGGAAGGATGTGCTACAAGCTGTCTGCTGCATGCATGTGGGCATGAGAGGTGGAGAACAGCAACTGGGAGAGTAGCATGCGAGGACTGTATCCTGAGATACTTGGAAAGAGGCAAGAGGCCAGGAGTGAGAGTCTGGCTGAGAAACACCTTCTCCATGTCAGTAATCCAAGCCTCCACCAATAGAAAGATGCAGCACTGCAGAACTTCTATTCCTCTGTTATTCACCATCTCCATCACTGATTTGCGCTATGTACTTGTGACAAGGACAACCAAGGTCACTCTTGTCTTGCACTGGGTTTCCCAGCATTTCTTCCCTATTGTGGATGAAGCACAAGTTTGTGGTGTCCCATCAATTATTTCTTTGGACAAGCTTATACTTCCCTCTCTGAAACACAACAGCAGCAATTTCCCACGTAGAGCTGGAATGGTAATACTTCCTTACACTGACGCCTTCTGTCCTGGCAGATTTTGCTTCTTGCAGTTATGCACCTGCTAAGAGGGCATTTAGCAACAGCTTCTGTTAAAGAAGAGACAGAGGCCAGAATGTCTCTAGCCAGCCGCTGGGACCTGCAGATGGACAGTCCCTAGTAGAGCTTGTGGAAGCCTGGGGCGCTGAAGATGGATGTTTCTGAAATCCATCGGGGAGACACACTGCCATCTGCCTGCTCCCTTTAAAACTACTGCGTGCTTTCTCGTTGCAGCTCTCAGCCAGAGCAAGAGACCCCCTTACCCTCCAGCACAGCTCTGTGTATAACCATAATCCTCGTGGTCACTTTGGGCTGAAGCGTTTAAGGATAAGACAGCCCATAGGGAAACCCTCAGGAATGAGAGTGTTCTTGTCCGTTTTATAGCCTTCATCCCCAGCACAATGGAATCTCACCACCATTTCCCAGCAAGTCACTAAGTCTCCAAAAAAGCTCACAATAATCAGTCCACTAATTCAGTGCTGTAGCACATTCCGAGATTCCTGCCTCCCATTTAGCTGTATCCCATCTAAAACAGGCTAAAGGGGTTCTGGGTGTCTTGGCATACACAGATTTATCCCTTGGTTCAAGAAGCAGTTTTCAAGTGCTATAACATTCACCAGATCTTATTTTTAAGAAACCCTGCACCGTTCAAAGGCACTAAGGTCATGGGCATAAATAAGTTATCTGTGACAAACAAAGCTGTCCTGACACAGCCATGAGAAAGAATTCAGCTCTTTCCCAGCCATGGTGAATTTATCTCTGGAAGAACCAGAGCTGTTTTTCACATCTCCTGACCCACACCTCCCAAAAGACACAGCCTGCTCATTTGTATGCAGCTACCAGAGCAGCCCATTCCAGAAGCCTGGAGCTTCTCATGTCCTGAGAAGGACAAAGGAAAACTGAAAGACATTCATGACCAGTCAGCATCAGACTGCAGAAAACATCAAAGAACACAATTCAGGCTGACTTGTGGGCTGTGGTGCTCTATTTGATTGCAGGTATTGGCACCATTTCCCAAATCCCAGTTCCAGTGCCTTAAAGAACATCAGCTGAAAACAGACCGTGTTGTTTTCCTAAAATCACTTTTCCATGGAAGCAGTGTTGCTGTAACAATGTTGTTTGGTTGTGAACGATAAAGCAGAAAAGGACGCACTAGCAGCAAACTAGGAATTATGTCTCAAAACAAAAATACCTCTCCCAACCAATGCCTTTGTTTGCAATAGTCACCAGTACAAACAAACATGAGAACCCTAATCTCTATACCAGTGATCAACCAGAGTGACACTGGATGAGCTGCTTTGCTCAATAGACCAAGTCGTCACTGAGTTAATTTTTGGCTTTGCACTTCTGTGCAAACACCTGAAACAACCAGAGGGATCGGTGTGTTCTTCCAGTATTGGAAACCCTCTATGCATTTCCTAGAGCAACAACGAAGGTGCTTTCACAACCTAAATTGGCTCGAAAGAGTCACACAGAAATTTTCTAAGAGTAAATAGCTTGAAAACCTTCTCATTCCAGGAGAAAAAGAGCTGGGAGAATTTGGGGCTGAATCCAAAATATCCCCTAGATCTTTCTCAGCTTCCCCCTCCAACTTTCACATGTGTTTACAACTCCCCAGGAGACTACATTTCACAGCTTCCCTTGGTAATTACTCCTCCACTTCTATATACTGTGTTCTCTAGACCCAGAACAAGCCTCCAAGTAGAAAACTTACCCTATAAATATCTTGGGACAACAGAATTACACTTCCCATTTCTAGGACTTACCATAAAACAGGAGTGCAGGAGAAAAGCTGAAGCTGCCAGATGAGCTTTCAACTCTTGCTCCACTTTTTCACCTTCTCTGTATATTTCTTTCTACTCTGAAGGCTAATTTTGCTTTTGTATTGCAGGCAGCTGTGGCAGAGCCTCACAACCCCTGTATTAAGATTTAGTGCCCAAATTAGAAGGTCTTTCCTTGTTGCAATAACGTGACCTTTAAATCTAAGCAGCAAGGTTAATATTGAGGCATTATTTCAGAATTCATCACTTGAGCTGCTGCAGCTCAGACATGATCCCATTGCTGTGTGTTCATTTAAGCACTGCTTCCAGGGCTACAATTTTTCACAAATGCATCTATTCCTAATACTATGAAAAGGAAAAGGGAGAGGAGAAGAAAGAAAGAATTTTTGGAGGGAGGGAAGAGGGAGAAGGACAATATGCCATTGTGATTTATTGTAGAGTAGATTGTCTGCAATAGTAGAGTGCTCTTTCTTAATCAAAGCTTTATTAAATTCTGGTAATAAAAAGCTAAGTGTTTTCAGATGGGATAAAGGCAAAAAAAAAAAAGGGGTAGCATGTTCATTTCAGTAACAGTCATGCCAGCAGTACATGACTGAGAACCCATGTGAAGGTGTTCAGGACCCCCAGCTAGCAGAGATGCTTAGCACAGCCTGCCATAGCAGGGCTGTACCCCAGCAATCGCTAGGTCCCAGCCCTGTCTGCACGTTATCAGACCTGACAAGCTTGCAAGGGAGAATTAAGGTAATTTCTTTTGGACTGCAGGATTTTTCCAAGCCTTTGCCAACAGCAGCATTGCTACCAGGTGAGCACACAGTGCAACGGCACAGGACAGACAGGTCCTGGCCCTGCTCTCCAGTGATGCTGCAACAGAGCAATAAGCATTTGCCACTGACTGGAGAGGTTCCTCATTTCTTCCACTCTAACAACCCCCCAGGACAACCAGTGTTCCCTAAATACTCAAATAAGGGTCTAGTCTGGCTCCCTCAGCAGCTTTCTCCCTTGGACCAGGGCTCCGTCTCCCATAGATCTCTGTGAATTCTAGCTAGACATATACTGCATTACTGCCCCTCTTCTAAGCAGCGCTCTTTGGGACTGAGGAAAGAGGATATACCAAGGGAGAATGAGGTTCAACAGGATCATTCTGTCCAGTACACAACACAGAAAGAAAAGCCAGAAAGAATATTAAAAAGAAGCTTACTTGATTTCAGCAAAGCTGCCAGAGCCTCAATGGCTGCCCTGGGGAAAGAAGAGAGATGGAGAAATAATGTCAATTTCCTCAATAATTTTTGTTATCTTCATCTTCACACTCTTCTGGGCCAGGCTCCCCAGCTGGCCTAAATTGACAGCTTATGATGGACTTTGACAGAACTGCAGTGTTTTACACCAGCGGAGGATCCAGTCTCTGCAGCTGACTCAGTTATTCTTAAAGACCATTAGCCCTCCAGCTTTTGTGTTACACTGATTTGTAGTGACCATTAAATTTAAAGCAACACCCACATATCCAAAGTAATGAAGCAAGTCATTTAACTGCTGCCCCAGAGCTACTTCTTTGTATTAAAGACTCGGCACATGCCCACTCCAGACATCAGTGCTTCCATCTACATCAGTACGTGACAACTTCTGCATCAAGCTGGGACGTCCATGTCAGTATTTCCAGCCAAATTCCACTCCCTTCTCTGTTTACCCGAAAAAGCTTCACCCCTCCTGTCCTCCCTCCCACCAGCTTTAAGTGAAAAGAAAAACTGATTTCTTTTAATTATAACAATGTCTTTCATTGCAGTGGCATGTAAAGGCTCCCACTCAGATCAGGACTTACAAGAAAGATGCTAAAGCTCTATGGGAAGACTGCTATCCCCATGAAGCTTAGAGAGTAAGTAGCTAGAGGGGAAGAGATTCTGTTGACATTCTGTGTCAGTTTCAATCTGCAGGTAAAGCAACTCAACCTTCCCCAGTCAGCATATCTCCTGGTTTAAAGGGGAGCTGATCACTAATGTTTGCAGCTTGAAAAGCTGAACTGAAACATCATTGTTCCTCACCATCCAGAGGCAAGTTTCTTCCTTTTGTGGTGTAAGCTCCGTCCCACTAGCCCCACAAAAGACTTTTTTCCAGTTGTATTCTGCTGGAGTGAGAAGATACGTGTTCTAACCTACCCTAGTGCTAAGTTTCAAGTGCCCACAGCTGATTAAATACATACAGCTACCTCCATGCCCAAGGATTCCTTAAAATGTAATCTGTTTACAAACCAATCCCCAAATAAAATCACATTAACTTCCATCCCAAGCCAATTATCATCCTGCAGCAAAAAAACACATCAGTATTTTTTTGTCAACAAGTTGCTGCTCATGGTGTGTCTTAACAGCAGCAGAAACTAAGAAAGATTCAAGAGCTGGTTCTTGCTGATTTTGGATCAACAACCTACCTAATGTCATTCTTTCATAATGAATCTGCCCAAAACATGATCCCAGATGCATAATCTCCTATCCCCACTATCTTTGAGTCCCCAGTCTCTCTAATTCCTCATCACACTTGCCCCAGAAGACCTAAACTCTTCCTGGCCATACCATAACTGACCCTTCAACAGCCTTAACCACTCCTGATCTCTTCCCCAGGCTTGGAGGGAGTTGGTCTGCTCTAACTCCAGGGATAGGAACTATTTGTGGTTCTTATGTGACCTGATCGGGCAGATTTGCAACTGCTTTGCTTGTAAATCTGAGAAACCCAAGACTGTCATAAAGATGTAAGTAAATTCACCCAGATGGTACTACTGTAGGGTGGAAAGCTCAGACATGTCCTGAAAAGAAAGGACTTGAAGGTGGCATCACCTAAATCCCAGCATCATCACTCAGAAGAATCAGAACTTTACATAATCACCACCTACTTCTGAAGCAACATTATAGACCTGCAGCTGTAGCTGGCTGGATTCCCTATATCCCAGGCTAACAGCCTAGATACATCCTCATCTCTGTACAGGCATGGACTCAGTACTGCAATAAAATAAAGTGGAACCAAACTAGTACATTTCATCTCTTCAAGTACTGCAATTTATCACAGGGATTTTGGCATATGCAATATGTAGTGTTCTGGGTGTCCTACAGCATGTACTCTACAGTTAGTCATAAGTAGGTGCAAACCCAGCAGACTGACCTCAATAGTATGTATTGCTTTAGAAGAGATTTTGAAAGAAAAATATAATTAGAGACAGGAGGGTAAACTGCAAAACAGATAAAATGGGTTTAAGGGATAAAATGGACTTAGCAAGAGTAGATCAATCCAGCCTAACTTGATATCTTTGTTTGATGAGTGATTTTTCTAGACAAGAGAAATGCATTTGATCTAATTTATCTGTACTTCAATAGAGCATTTGATGTGGTGCCGCACTGGAAATTATTAGCAAAGCTGGAGAACACAGGGATTAGTGTAAGAATTGCACCATGGGTAAGGAACTGGTTAAAGAGACAATAACAGGAGTTGTGCTGAAAGAGGAATTATTAGTCTGGAAGGAAGGTATGTGTGAAAGTGCTCAAGGATGTTTTGAGACCGATCTTATTTTATCTTTTCATTAATGACCTTGGCACAAAAAGTCAGAGTATACTAACAAAATCTGCTGACTGTGTGAAGTGAGGAGCTGCTGCCAATACCAGGGAGTTCAGAATATCTTTCAGGAATGGCAGGATGTTCTTGACTGCTAAAGCAGTAGAAATGTGATGAAATGTAATAGTCAAAGTGCAAGGTTACACATTTAGGCTTTAATAGGAATTGCTGTTATAAGCAGGGGCTCATAATTTGGAAATGAGCAGAAGGACACCCTGGATATATGAGCCCATTAGAGGATGAGGACAAGCACGACCCAGCAAGGTGACAGCCATGAAAGGACAGATCAGGTCTCATGAAAGCCATGGCCAGTGGAGAGGTGAAAGCATGAATTTCATACAAGGCTTCACCTGAATAGCTGTGTGCAGTGCTCAGGAGGAACTGTGCAGAAGAGTACTAAGGAAATCATTATGTTGAAGGAGACTTACCTCATGAGGAGTCTTAAACATCACAGTTTTGTCACCTTAGCAAAATGATGGCTAAGAGGTGACTTGACTGTTCTCCATAGACACACTGTGTGAGGGAGAAGTAAACACTGAGGAAGATAGAGAGCTACTTAAGCTAAAGAACAAAGTTGGCACAAGAACAAATGGATATAAAATGGCCATGAATAAAATTCAACTAGAAATTAGAGGATGGGTTTTAAGCACTGGAAAATGAAGCTCTGAAACATCCTTTTGGCAGCAATGGGATGAACAACCTAATGACTTTGAAGAGGGATCCTGAATTGCTTATAATGGGGCTGTTAGGCTCAGTTGTCACTGTGGAAAGCCTCTAAAAAAAGTGACCCAGGAATGACTGTAGTCTTATATCCCTATATTTTAATCTTAGGTAAAATGGAAATAAAATGAGAAACAGGTATTTTAAGTACAAGGTTAATCTTAAGCTGAATACCCAAATAGTCTAGTATCCTGTGGCCAACATTGGCCGAGGGAAGCATGTAAGACCACAGCAAAAACAGTGCTAGAACTTGCAGAGCAGACTCAGACTCCAGCAATCTGCAGTCCAGAGATTTCTTAAGCTAACAATAGTGCCTTGGGGATGCTTTTGAGCTCTTAGTTGATTTTGCTTCCATATATTTTCCTGGACGCTTTTGAACTTACGCAAACTTTTAGCATCTACAATTACTCTGGGAAAGGAGTTTGTGTAGAGTTATCTACCCGCATTTGTTCTAAGTTTAGACTTAGATCAATGTTGTAATTTACACTTTAAGTCAGCTGTCAGCAAGTATCCCCAGAATATTACTTATCTTTGATGCTGAACAAATTCAAACATACAAAACACCCCATGGAAAACAAATAAGTTATAGAAGAGAATGCAGAACGAACTTTCACCACCAAAACCAGGAGCCAGCTTACAGCAAGCCAGGCCAAGTGGTGTTTGTGTTGTCAGCAACTCTTAACACCACATGGCAAACCAACAGCATCTTTTCTGCTATCAGAAGATGTAACAAGATGATTAAGCCTCGGACAGGAAGACAGAGAGAAAGGAGATAAATTGTGCACGAAAGCAAGAATGGGGGAGAGGGAAGATGGGAATGGGAGGAAAAGTTTAAGAGCAAAAGAAAGACAACTTGATAAGCCATATGCTCGACCAGAGAATCTGATAGCTTGCCCAGTGTAGAACTCTGCATTTGTCTCAAAAAAGGAATGGGGGGAAAAAAGAAATAATTAAAAACCCTGCCAAATCTGTCCAGATGCCTTCGTCTGATTTTTTGTTCTTTGTGCTAATACATTAGTAAAACCTTAGCTGCTTTGTCAAACCCAGCGTATCTCAAAGGAGATTTACTTCTATATTCCAAAAACAAGAAAAAAAAGAAAGGATGTATAAATAAAGTTGCCCCATCTTAAAAAGCATAATAATAAATGCTGCTCCATAATCACAAAACATTAAAAACTCCCTGTAGTAGCAGTTGAGACAGCCACTCTGAAGAATGGAAATCTTTGAAGCATTTCCAAGTCAGCAGCTTGGATATCTGGGCAGGAGTACAACTAGCAGGCAGATAGACAAATGCAACTTCCAGATCCTGTGCTTAGGAACCAGGAGCAACAAAGGAAAAACTTCGCTTCCCAAGCCAAAGCACAATTGGATTAGCCACCAAAACTCCTTTGTCTGGGCTACTAAAAAGGCCAGACAAAGGAGTCTTATGCCTGGATCACCTTTTCAGATCTGAGCTTCCAGGAAAGCATTACTGGCAATAATTGCAGACAGAGGAGACAAAGCCAGAATCTGTTAGGTTTTCTTCTCTGCTCTGATCTCAGCTCACAGGTTGCAGTGCTGGGCAGTATGATGGACAATACTGTGCATGTTTCTGTCGCAGTTTTATTTGTTCCACCCCAGTATTAAAAAGAAAGACTCCTGACAATAAAAAACCTCACTACAGAGGAGATGTGTGGTGGGCTACATTAAAGGATTATGGATTTCAAGACTCATAGGACACACTGGCATTGGTACCTACCTGTTCAGGACCGGCTTGGAACTCTGCACAGGGAACTGCAGAGAAGCCAAAGACTGAACAAAGAAATGATGCAACAGGGTTCTGCAAATCAGTTCCCAAGTAATTTAACCAGCCTTCCTTCTCCTGTGAGATTGCATCTTTTACATGCTTAAACATGAAACCTCTTCAACTTGTTGAATGGAAGTTA